AAAATTCCCAGTGCTGCATGTGGTTTCATAATTAAAATGGGAATGTCACTGAAGACAGAAATCTCATCATCCACACGACAAAAGAATGAGGATGTGGAAGTATGTATTAGGCAAACTCGATCATTACCCAAGCTATTTAGTGTGAACCAATGGTGCAGGATTCCCCCTCCAACAGGCATGTTTTGGCTATGCGGATCCTCAATCTATAGTGTACAACCGGCCAAGTTTAATGGCAGGTGCACTTTAGTCTATGCCCTACCTGCAGTCAGAGAAAACTTGAAATCCACTCGAGTACTTTTAAGTGATTCAGCTCCTGCCACGAACACAGAAGATGGCTGCATTCCGGGACTCACTTGTGCACAAACATGGTGGTCAAGAACTCTTGGAACATTAATCCCGTTTTATGGTGTCATGCAGGCCCTTGATCAAGTTAGAAGCTTATTGAATTCTGTACAGAAACTGGCCAATGATACGGCTTTTGCCCTGGGTAACATCACGAACACTCTCGCTTCACACAAGATAATGATCTTACAGAACAGAGTGGCCTTGGATTACATTCTTACAACGCAAGGGGGAGCATGCACCATTATCGGACCTGAGTGCTGCACCGGGTTAGTGGATCCAACAGAGAACTTGAACAAAATCCAACAAGACATTCTTGGTCTTTCAGCAAAATTACACCAGATGACTGAAGATAAGTCTTCATGGTTTGGAAACCTTTTAGGTAAACCCTGGCTGTGGATCAAGGAAATAGCAATTCTGCTGTTGTTTTTCCTACTGGTGTACTATCTATGCTTCCACAGTATCAAGTGTTTCATTCAACAAATGGCCCAATAAAAAAAAACTCATTCTGATTCTGATGCCCATCACGAGGAAATGACAGTTCCAACCAGAAAAGATTATTACCCCACGACCTCGCCCCTCCCCACCCCCCAACCATTCTAATTTCTGTAGGTGGGAATTCTTTGTAATGATATTCTAATGGGTCGCTTTGTGATATCACAAAGCCCGGAAACCAAACGCTGTAGTCCAAACGAGCCGTTTGCTGTAGTTCTTGAAAATTGATTTTTTAAAAACTAAATTTCTCCCTTTGGAGTGGACTTTGAGATTTGTAACTTTCTAGATCTTTTTTATGCCCAAACATACACACTACACACTGACTAAAATTTAAAAAGTGAAAAAGCATAATAGGACCCCTTTAATATTAAAAGATAATACTACTACTAGTTCTACTACTATACTAACAATATACAACGCACTAGGATTGATGAGCTGCTGGGTTCATGAATATTAATCACATTGTCAGCGTTCCCTCGAACTGATTTGCTGAAATCAAAACAGGGACGGTAATAGATGAGTAGGGATGCAACGATTATAGATTTTGTTCGTACGATTATTGTCTGAGGAATAATCACGGTTTTACGATTATTATGCATTTATTCATTTCCCAACATTACTAATGTATAACATCACATGAACACTCTTTAGATATTAAAGTGTTATTTATTGCTTACTTTTGAAAATAACACAGTAACCAACAATACAGCACAAAATAATAATAAACAAAAGACAAACAAAAGTCCATCTCTCCCATTGGAATTAAAAAAAGGTGACCTCTGCTCTGTAAACATCCATGACAGTATTTCTCTTCTGAAAATAACAAATGGAAATAGATCACAAAAGTATTTAATGTTTTCAGTTTGTACATTCTTTACATTTCTTTTGGACCTGGGGTTGAGAATTTGGATGGTGAAAAACATGGTGAAAAAAAATCTGGTTGGTTTTTACTTATGAATAATACTACACCAGGGATAGTAAATAACAAAGTTAATGAAGTAGCCTATTATTAATATACGACTTAATATTAACTTTATTTGTCCCACAGGGGAAACTGTTACTAATAATGGAAATAAACTGAAATATTATTGTAATCAACTGTCATCCATACGTATTCATTTTAATAATCTTTATAATAATTCATATGATTTTACATATGGTCTGAGAAAATCATGTCTATTATTTTGGTTTGTGAGATCGGAGATCGCACTGCGCATGTGTGCAAACATTCAGGAGGACACAAACTTCTTGAGAATGCTGCCCCGTGACTTTTATTAATAAAATAGATTAAATAGCCTACTGGAAAGATGCACAGATGCAGGTAGGCTAATTCACACAGGCAACTGTCACCTCTCTCTTTCTCTCTCTCAATCTCGAATAATTAATTAATGTAGCTAAATGTTATAATTAATTCAAATAAATGTGATCTTACCACACTATTTCATCTCTTTCTGATCTGAAGCGGGCAGAATGCTGAGCTAACGAGCTGTAGCTTTGTGTCAGGTGGTTCTTGCCTTCAAGTTGTGCATTAAAATCGTTCAATGTACATCTAGCTGTGCATTATCCCTTATGTATTCGCTTTTTAGCAGCAGAAATAACAGAAATACTCGGTTCAGCAGAACCTTTACGATTAATTAACCATGACATTTTAAAGCGTGGTTAATCCCGAAACAAGTGCCAGCCAATGAGATTGCC